GATATGGTTGGGCATGCCACAATAATATAGTATCTCATCATCTATTGCAGATCTATTTGGACAGAGACAACTTGGTAAGCGCTCTCAACAATTCAAAGGAAGTTCACGTAGCGGTCATTGACAAATGTGAGGAAAATGTCAACAAGAATTTGAAGCAGTGGCTGGAGAACCTAATTGAAGATTTGCATCAAAAAGAGGAATATGAACGGCATACCAATCGAGTGATCGAAATAAATATGTATATTGACGACCAAAGGGTCGATCTGGAGACCAATGAGCTGCCTCTGATATAGTGTATGATAAGCAAAAATCAATACCGACGTGAGTGCTGCAACAATTGTCATAAACGATGGACCGAAGAAAGCATGTTTCCACGCGTTATTTAATCAAATATACCTGACTGTAAATAACTTTATGCTCTGAATATACCATCATAATGCTTAAAGTTCCCAGAGTAATATGACGCAGACATCGACCGCAAATTTGAGTGAATGGACACCTCCAAAACATTGACTTTGGTGCCCGAAAACCGAATCGTGTAAATCAAAAACTGGCCGAATGTATGGATCATTCTGTTGATCCCTATGACCTAACAGTTTAACCGGTTGCACAAAAACCCCCGAAAAAATACGAAAAACGTATCTGCTCCTTCGAGGGTCGGCAAAATGGGATCAGTCCCGATATGTCCGTCAGACATTCAGCTCATTTACGAGCAAAAAGGTATCTTGGGTAGTGCGGGAAGCCAGTTTGTATCCACTTGGTTCAGTTTGCTGGACTGACCACTGGGCCAGCTTATGCTGTGGTAAATTCGTAATGGATCTCATAGCTTGTACAATTTTGGTAGCCCGTATAACCTGGGAACATGTGAACCTACAGGCTTTAGGTAGGCAGCCGTGTTCTCGTTTACTATTTGTTTTTGAGAAGGGACCTAAGCCTTTTCCCAGTATGGTCTTGAGGTGCTTTTGCTTCTTTTTACCCATGGATTTCAGGAGAGAATATGCTGGGGTCACTTAATATCAATCTGATCTTACTTACGTATTCAACCTTGTCTAGACTCACAACGCCGCTTCATCTGTCCCCAAGTCAAGTCAAGTTTATTAAGGGAAATATAGACAAACGCGTTTGAACTCCCTATCGCTACACAGTAGATAAGAAATGCATCGGCAAAGCCGAACATTTCAAAGAGAGTCGTTTACATACTTGTAGGCGATTACTCACTTGTTCCAAGTAATATAAGCAGATGGAGTGATGTCAGACAACACGAGTCAGCAGGTGTAACTGAACAAAAAGAGCTGACAGTGAAAAAAAACTGCCAAGGCATGGCAGTTTTGGAATGTACTTTGTGGTTTTTTTAGGAGAACTGTCTCTCGGGGGAGAAAACTATGTGAAAAATAGGGCCGACATGCTGTTTTTAATGTTGGCGGCAAGCCAGCAGTTAATCGCGATTTTTTATCTTGATCTGAAGTACCATACGAGGAGGAGACTGCAGATTCACGGGAACATCCCGAAGAACCGGAGCTGCGACCACGATACGCCCTTGCCAATATCCGAGGCCGCCATCAACGCGACTAAAACAGGAGAAGCCGCTTCGATCGCAACTATCCGTTATTGATCGACATAAGTGAGCTGCCGGCATTTGGATGAATTTAGTACACAAAATAATTTCATAGTTAAGTGTTACTCAAACGAAGCAAGTAACACCATTAGAAATGCAATGGTTCTTCGTCTGCAGCAAGACTACAGCGGTCAACTGGTGTTACAGTGAGCGATACTATAGCAATCTAGCTTCTCCCTTAAATTCGTAATCGTTGCTAATTCGAAGAAGTCGCCAGGTAGAAG